CATCGCATCATACATAAACCACCGCCTCCTTCTGCCTGCAACGTGCTTTACTACCTCGACCTTCGAATCTGCAGTTCTCTTGCCATAGCAGCCGTCTTCCTTCAGTGCCTTCATGTGAGGTTCAGCTGTTCCTTTGACCCAACAGTGACAAACAAAGCCTACAGCCCGGCCCGTCTTGCGAAGCTAAGACCCAAACGCTGGCGTCGACGTTCTCAATGAGCGCATTGGGAATGATGTCCTCTCCGTGGCAGTTGCAGGGTCCCGTACTCAGTACTTGATTTGAGTTGTTGACTCATGCCAGAACTTTGAAGAGCCAGGCTGGTATATATAGCCATGATTGCAACCAAAGCAACCACAACCACTGCTGATCCATTCCCTGCACCTTTGCTAGCAATACTTGTATAGTATAAAAGCAGCGCCAGCTGATCAAACAATCTGTTTGCTTCCCTGTAGTCACTGTACCTCCCTCATGCTGCAAGTTTGCCTTTGTGTTGAGTGTGCTACCAGTGGGTCGCACTGATAATGATCCCTCCGAGTTCCTCACATTGACAACGATCACACCAAGCAGCTCGATCCGCTTGTGTCAGAATGTTTCAGGTACAGCACAGATTCATCGTAGACAGACAACGAGCACACACACACACACATACACAAAACACATGTTGCACTTAACACACATGCATTCAAAACAAACAACACAACAACCACACACAAACACAACTCCGCAACACACCCACAGAACATTCATTAAACAACAACAAGCATAAGACACAGGCAACACATATCCCAAGAAGCACGCAACACGCACACACACACACACAAACAACACACACACACATGCATGTAACACACACACACACTCAACACACAACACATGCACACACACACACACAACATCGCGAAGCATGCACAACAAGTAGACACACATACAAACAACGAGGGCAGCACAAAGTTCAACGTTGCACCTTTCTTTAGTTCGTCTTCTGAACAAGGCCGGCACAAGATAGCCACCGTCACAAACATCAAATTCGTGCGTTGGCTGTCAACCTCAACCCTCCAATCCACCCAGACCTTGGTCTGGCTGAAAGCCCACTCACTGATCATGTTCAGCACCTGCCCTTTGAACGGGATAAGGTTCCTGGCTCGGATCTGTCACAAAGTCGGACATGGAAAAGGACATCTACTCCCCTACGGGGATCCCCCTAGCTGACAATAGCACCTTGGCAATGGCAACGCAGATTGCTTCTTGCAAAAAAGGCGCATTTTGTTCTGCGGCAGCACTTTGCAATCACGCAGTGTTGGCCGGAAAATCGGCGCAGTGCCCTCGGGAAGCCCGAGAAGTCTCAAGATACGGTTTAAACACTTCGGCAGTTTGTTGGCACGAGCTGCCAAAATGTCAGCGGAACATGTCGGGGGAGGATCCAAAAACAAATAAATAAAACATGCCGTGACCACGGCAGGATGTAGTCGAAGGCGGACACACCTGGGCCAAAGCTGGAAGGAGCTAAAAGCAGAGTACCCGATGGCATAGCGTCATGGGATCATGGGTCATGTTCACTCGTGAATTCACTTGCCACAAACACAATGCCGTGTTGACGAACATTGCAAATGCATGTTGTGTCCCATCCAATGAACCTTCATGCATGAACATTAGCAAGGGCAAGTTGTGCAGTGTAAGGGCTAAAGGCAAAACACTCGGCCCCAACTTTCCGTGTGTAAACAATGCACTATATATATACACATACATATATGTGCACATGTGTCATGAACAATATCATTCAATGGCCAGCAGGTCCCGGACGATCGTTGGTGACCATAATCACATTCTCGCCGGCAAAGTAGATGCTACGCACCTTCCAAGCTGCATGCAAATGTAAAGTGCAGGAAAGGCGAGAGGTAAGTCACTTACAAGAAGTTGATTGTGAAATTGAGCTTTTCCTTCCTGATTCTCCACACGCCCCATGTTGCGTACACCACGATGCAATTATTCGCCATATCTCAGACTGTGAAGTGTTCTTGTAAGCGCTTGTCACATACTCTTGACTTCAAGTGAGCACATGGTGTGGCCAACTGGATACTTTGTCTTTGGCTGCATGGATCACCACGCACTCACCAGCCAGACCTGAGTTGCTGGAGTCCAATGGAAACAATTGGTATTGTTTGTTCCGATGCCGCTGACAAGGGCAGCAGCCCTCTTCTAACTGTAATTCACACATGTGTAGTTGACAAAAGGGACTACAATGATACATTCCATACACGGAACAAGACACATCATGCCTCGCTCTTAGCATGCATGGATGCCACATATCCGTCAATGCCGCTGACAAAGCCAAAGCCAAGACAGGCTGAACAAAACTTTACTGATTTTGTTAACAGAGTCATTGACAATCAGGCAAAACGCACATATTCATGAAATTCCAACGCCTTCAAATGGTCACTGTCCTTTTTGCGTTCCCTTTAAACAAACGAAAACAGGACAGACTCACAAACAGAGACACACGCACAAACAGACGCGCAAAGACAAAACCATAAATGCAAACGCAAACACAAAAAACACACACACACACATGCAACCGCCACACAACGTACACTCACCACGCACACACACACACATGCAAACGCCACACAACGTACACTCACCACGCACACACACACACACACACAACACACAACACACAACACACAACACACAACACACAACACACACACACACAACACACACACACAACACACACACACACGCACGAAAACATACACACCCACAAACACACGCAGGCACACACTAACACACAAATAACACATGCATTAATCTATGTCCAAATGATAGCCCTTCAATTCGTGACGTTCCTGTTTATTTCACTTTAAGCCAATGAACACAGGACACCCTCACAAACACACACCCTCACAAACACTCACAAACACACCTGAACACAAGAGACCCTGAAAAACACACCCAAACCAACCAATTTCCGCGGGCTTCTCGCCTTGCCCTGCTTCTGTTCGCCCAGCTCCGGGATGAAGCATTCAGGCAAGGTGAGATCCAAGTACCTGAGGCAGACAAGGGCCCGGTTTTTTTAAGGGGTCGAGATTGAATTTAGGATGTTTTTGTTGCTTTGTTTTGTTTACTTATTGTTTTTCGTCTTGGCTGGCCCTCCGTTTTTAACCTCAAACCTGTTTTCACTCAAGTTGACCTTCCGGCTGAGGGCCCCAAAAGGTAAGTTGGGGGTCGGGAAAGGGACAAAAACACAGGGTCAAGCCCCCCCCCCCTGAAATATATGGACGAGTCAAAGAACCGCATGCTCTGGGTGGTTTCCCGAATAATACCACGCGTCGAACGCTTGAGCGACGCGCAAAGACTCATGCTACAGTACATCCAGGCTACAGTCTAGATGCGCCCTTGTGGAACCACCCTTCGACAGGTTATGAAAGAGTACGTACTGAATATCAAACCCACCCCCTCAAAAATGCATCAAACACATTTTCTAGACCGTGGGAATTTCAAAGGTGATCCTGGACTATGGATGTTTCATTTTATCTGGATTCCAAGCACAACACAAGGAGGCGCTCAACAGGTTGATCATCTGCGGCAATGACTTGACTATCATGACTATGAATGTCAAAGACCAATATGCAATCCAATGTTAAGAAACAGTGACACTGAATCTAGAACCGCACGATTGAGCACAATATGCGTAGGTGCCGCATTTGCGTCATCACGCCACTGTTTTTGAGATAGCGCGCTGAACAAACAGCATTTTTTCAACTTAGTGCAACTGGAATTAAGCATGTTCAGCTCAAAGTGGAATCATACTGGCGTTCAGCTCTGGCTTTGCCATTGCTCTTCGGGTCAGCAAGGCTACATGCTTGCAATGGGTAACCTGGCTGTACAAGAAAAACAAAGCCTGCGAGGGCCATGCGTGGAGCCTAACAGGGGCCAAGGGTGAAAACACACTCCTGAGATTCGCACTGTCGGATCTTCGCCTTCAGATCAGCATCCTTAGCGATGCTCGCCATGTGATGCGTGGGCGGTCGGCCATTTTTGTGCGTGGAAGTTCCGAACCAAGCTAACAAAAGGCAGAAGCCCATGGCGTCAGTTGCTGACATGCACAAACTGCCATTCAGCAGCGTTGCAATATGATTCATTATGATGCTGGAATCGTCCCATCTGGAAGTAAGTTGTGACATTGAGCACCTTGCTTTGAAAGAGAACAACGCAACCGGTGAATCACTTGAAGACACAATCCAACTTGAACACACACACACACACACACACACACACACACACACACACACACACACACACACACACACACACACACACACACACACACACACACACACACACACACACACACACGCACACAAACACAAACACAAACACAAACACAAACACAAACACACAACACACACCCACACATCTCATCTAACCCGGTTTGCCCTGTGGCGGTCGGAGTAAATCCTCTTCCTCTCTCTGTCCGCACGCTGGACGCTCAGTCCAGGGCCGCCATCGCGTAATGAAATGGGCAAGAATGGAGATCCCTTTGAGCAGCTATGCGGCCGAAACAGGCAAATCCCATGGAGCTGTCAAGTTGCAGGTAGCGAAAATGTACACTAGGGTACTCTCCAGGCTAAAATGGAAGCTCCCTTTCAAAGTCTTAGTTCATTTGCGGTGGCATTCCGAAGGCTTCCATGTAAGTCTGAGGGGGGTAGAACGGCGCAATTCCCTTGTCGGCCAAGGGGATGACTACACCCAGCACACGACTTGTGTCACTGGCCCAAGGGCCCCGGCCCCATGGCCAAAAGGCCGCTTTTGGGCAACTCCCTACGGCTTCCAAGCACGTAGGGGAACAATAAACTCCCCCTGTACTGCACCTTGTGGCGCATCCCCTCCTCCAAGGGAAACATACATCTTCCAATTTCCCAGGCAGTGCAACTGTTGGCTTGCCGTGCGGTTGGCTGCTTTGCAAGATTGAGGGCTTCATGTGACGCGACCACGGCGCCTGAGTCGGGAGCGCTGAGCTCCTCTGACTTGAGGATGGACCTGGTGCGTGGATTTGTCCTGAAGGGTTGGCCCAGACCCTGGTACCAAACCCTGGTACCCTTCAAAGGTAAACCAAGGCGTCCAAGCCTCACCCAATCAGCTGAAGTGGTTGGCAGTTGGATTTCTGTTGGCCCTTTATGCAAGCATCGCAACATATGGGGGGCCGTTTTTGGGTTTCCTGTCTTGAACACCGAAAACAGGTGCCTTCTTTGAGACAAACACATTTACGGGGTACCCCTATGAAAAGAAGCATCGCCATGAGAAGAGTGACTTGGAAAGGATGCTAGGGACTGATGGCTTACCTTACGGAAGCGACCAAGGGCTCAAAGAGATTGTCCGATGTCTTATTCTTATATAGGGCCTAAATGAGTTGCAACTTCAACACCATCCTTTCATGGAGCTCTTTGGATAAGGGGCCCGTGGCCTTGTCATTTGGGTGGATCCCAGAGCAGCATTGTAAGGTGCTATGATTTGCCCAAACACATCATAACGTCCCCTTTGAAACACGCGTGCACACACGCACAAATGCACCTATACGGGTGCTTCTCTACATCCGTGTTCAATCTGTTCATCCAAATGGTTTCCTTCGCGTTTGTTTCCTTTGAGACCATCCCACAAGTGCGCCCCCACCCTCCCTCCCTCCCTCCCTCCCTCCCTCCCTCCCTCCCTCCCCTCCCTCCCTCCCTCCCTCCCTCCCTCCCTCCCTCCCCTCCCTCCCTCCCTCCCTCCCTCCCTCCCTCCCTCCCTCCCTCCTCCTCCCTCCCTCCCTCCCTCCCTCCCCCTCCCTCCCTCCCTCCCTCCCTCCCTCCCTCCCTCCCTCCCTCCCTCCCCTCCCTCCCTCCCTCCCTCCCTCCCTCCCTCCCTCCCTCCCTCCCTCCCTCCCTCCCCCTCCCTCCCTCCCTCCCTCCCTCCCTCCCTCCCTCCCTCCCTCCCTCCCTCCCTCCCTCCCCCCCTCCCCCAGTGCTTGGACCCCGACTCCGCAGGCTGCAGGCGCGGGGGGCTGGTGCCGGTGGACAAGGGTACCACCTTGGCTCGAACGAGTTCTCTACGGCCCAAGAATTCGATTGCACGACGAACTTTGTCCATTGCATATCTGCGCATTCTTCAGATCCCCTGCTACAAGTCCAACCTGTAGTGGGTAGCACTTGGGCTGCGACACAGCCGCCATCTGTGAGGTGATTTGTGTCGGATCGCCACCATGCAAACAACATCGGGATTCGGTGTGCAAAATCCTTATGAAATGATTCATGGCCGTCCTTGGTTGAAACAATTGAAACAGCCTGCTTTACATATATGGTTAATCAGTGTTTCGCAATTCCCTGTTTCGACTTTTTGCACACCATTGCCTCTGTTCAACTCAAACACTATAGAGACATTCCTGGGCCCGGTCCCTCACACAGGGTTGTTCTCTAAAGCGGGGTGCCTTAGCCCTCTAAGCCAGCCGCAGCAGCGTTGATGTCCTGGACTGGAAGACAGGATGAAGAATGGAAAGTCCCCCGCAGTGCCCATTCTCCCAGAAACTCAAGCCACTTCGCTACAAACTAATGCGGAACCCAAAACGGCCACTGGAAACTGAGATCGCCTGATGCTGCTTTCTCAACTTGATATCGGAAGAAAGAACATGCGGCAGTTGGGCTACAGGCCACTGCATGCATGCGTGAATTTGTTGTCTGCTCTGGAGCTAAGCCAGCAACCACAGGGCAGCAACCACAGGGTCCCCCACCGTTTCAGAAACCCAAGCGTCCCGTCAAAAGGAAGTCCGTCAGCGTGGCAAGGCGCTTCCCAGTGCATTCGAGAATACTGTTTCGCCGGCAAACTTAACCAATGGTAGGTTCGTGAATTGGGACATGATCTGCATGGGATTGCATGCCCGCCAGCCTCTCTGTAGAACATTTAGTGCCAAACATGTTGAATCACAATGATTACCTATCTTCCATGACAACCTCGCTGGTCAGAGAGTGATAACCCATTGCGCAAGCAAGCGCTACAATGAACACTGGAGGCCAAGGTCAACTGCTCAAACCAACATTGTTAACCCCTGTGGCTGGCTCTAATGGTTCTTTCGCTTTCAGCCAGAAACCACGTTACCCGAAGGTCCCAACTCCTCGCCTTGAACTGCGAGTCGTCGCCATCCATCTCCTTGAGGTAGTTCGTGAGGTATTCCCCAGTGACCTGGATGTCTGAGTCCTGGAAGAGCTGGAACTCTGCTCAAGCTTGGCTTGGTGGTTGGGAAGTTGGGGGGTATCTTCTCCCAAACCAAGTGGGGTAAACTTCTGGGTCGTGATGGTCATGAACAAACGGACAGATACGGACCACTGCTTGAAACTCTTCGCCAAAACGCCTCCATTGCAACAGTTGTTTGCATGCTGAAATGTGCCAAACATCTGGGACTTTAGCTAGTGCCCAGAACAACCTCTCCCAGTGCTTCCAGCTGCACCTCCAGTAAACAAAGCGTGCATTGCTGCCGCCAGGAAATGCATGATGGTTTTCCCTAGCTACGTAATACAAAGGCAAGTGGAAGGGCTTGACGGCGCCTCTTTCTTCCGCTGCGAATCTCTCTGCATTTGTTGCTTGTTCCGCCCAGGGAGGCTCTTGGAAGAAGAGCCTCCGGAGTAGCGAGCAACTGGCAGAACGCTGATCTTGGTGCTCCGCCAATTCGTCAGACAAGGAGTCAAGCCCTGTAGCTGGGTAAGCCGCGATCGACGGAGAAGATTATGTTGCGAGACTTCTCACCAAGGCTCTCAATCCAAGATGGTGGGCCTATGCATCGGAGGCATCTCCATCCACGCTCATACCACAGTGGCAGCGTCCACAGGCGCAGCTCCTGCGCACAACTCCTCCTGCTGGAGGTTCTCTGCAAAGCAGACGGGGCCGCAAGTGACATCGTCACATCGATGTTTGTGGAGCGCGTAGAGGTCCAAGGCCCGCTGGAAATAGGCCTTCTGATGGAGATTGGAGCAACGTCCTTGGCGCCACGCTCGGGCCCATAGCTCTCTGTTTGGCACACCGCTCTCGCAAGACCTCCACGCCTCGATTTCGGGGGGTAGCTGAAGCTCGTCGAAGTCGGGGCCCTCGCAGTCGACCGGATCGACAGGCCAAAGCCCTTCCAGGGTCCAGGAGCCCTCGCAGCGCTGGAACCGGAGCGCGTAGCATCGGCCTAAGCTGCATGTAGAGAGCGCCCGTTGGCTGCCCTTTCGTGGTTGCACGAGAGGGGCGGAGTACAGGAGTACGCCCTGCTCATCATAATACGAGACAGCTGCAACTTCGTCAAAGGACATGCTCAAAAAGCCACCTCTGATGTCATGGCCCGGGCGAGGTCCGACCCCAGGCCCACGGCCGCCTTCGCCAGAGATCATGAACTTCAGCGCGTGTGGCGGTACAGTGTGCAGCTTCGGGGTGCCGTAGCAGCACTCTCGACCAGCCCCGGCCAAATACATCTCCACACCGGCGACGGAGAGGTGCTCGAGCATGTGGTCGTGTCCGCTGAGGTAGTGGGCGCCATACCTTGAGAGCAGCGGCAGCAGTCTGTGGACGAGCGCCCTTGTGGTGCCGTCGTTTCCGGCGCTGTAGATGGGGTAGTGCCCCGCCACGACCACGAAGTCGGAGCGGCTCTTCAGCTGCTCCTCTACCCAGGCCCAGCGGTCTTCAGCCAGCAGCGCGTCCGCTGGACCGGGCAACTCGCAACCTCGGCACCCGTCATCACTAAGACCAACCAGCACCACGGTGTCGATCATGATAAACGTCACGCTCCTCACACGCCCTGCCTTCGAAGTGTAGTTGTACGTCCTGGTATAGAAGAGGTCTGGAAAATGCCACCTTGCACCAGCATCATGGTATGAAACCTGCGCAGCCACGCTGCCACGGTGATCGTGATTCCCTGCCACAACAAGGAACGGCAAGGATTCAAAGAGGTCCGTGCGGTAAACGTCCTCAAAGGTCTTGTGGAATCGCCACGAATCAGAGCTCCGCACCCCAGCTTCGTAGAAGTTGTCGCCCAAAAGCATGACAGCGTCGCTGCGCATGCTCTTGGCGACACGTGCCATGCCGACGGCGGTCGCAATCTGCGCCTTGGTCGTCGGCTCGAAGTCGGAGTGGCCCCCCCAGTCACCTACAGCGACGAAGGAAACGCTGGCCAAGACTAGCTGCAGCATGGAGGCTTGCAAGAGGAGCAGGCGGGCGCCAGCCATGGCTGGTGATGGATGTCCCCCAGAGCCCGGCCGGGTCTTGGGAGCCTCTTCTGACTTGCGCACCTGAGCCACAAAATCCATCGATGCTTGGATCGGTCGGGACTACACAACCCTGCATCTGCAAGGAAACATGTAGGTGCCACTAGATGCAAAAAGTGTGCACGTAGCGTCTAAGATCCTTTCTTGAGGGTCTTCGGACACGACCGGCCGTACCATGCTAAAGACAAGTATAGCTTAGGCTTAGCCAAACAACTTCCCAGGCAGTTGGCTTTTATAATTTCGAAAGAGAAAGAGATGGTCCCAAACAAACAGGGCAGCCTCTTGGGTGCTGCTGACCCCTCTGCAAAACGATTAGCTGTGTGTGGGTCCAATGGAAATCCCTGGTTCCCAAAAAGTTAAAGTCCAAAGATCTAAGCAAATATCCATGAAGGCCTCTCTGTGCCGAACCTTGGGGCAAAAGTAGCTGTTGAAGTAGATGGCTTTGCTGCTTGGCCTCGCAAAGGTGCCCAAGTTCCTCCTTCTTGTCTCCGACGGTGAGGTTCATATTCTTCATGGCAGTCATTGACATGGCCATGGTGGCCGTTGCACCTCGCGAAAAGATCGGCAGTTGCCCGGCTGGATTGGCTGCCAAGAATCCATATGGTCCATAATCCCTAGAGGAAAAGGAAGGAACCCACGGCTCCTCAAACGCAAGGGACGGATTGAGGATTGGCTTCAGGCTTCCGGCCCAGTCGAGTTTTCTGCAGCGTCGGCATCTGCAAGATTGATCTACCATGCCAGTGGGCCAATGCTGCCCGAAGCAAAGTGAACATAGCAATGCATAGCTGGAAGCATAGAAAAGGGAGAGAGAGAGAGAGAGGGAAACAGAATGAAACAGAAACAAAAGCAAAGCCCACTTTGACTCCGACCCACAACATATTGCTGGTCCTCTGACTAAGTTTGGATACGCCCTGAATCCGACAAGCCTGAGTTGAGCAATTGAATGCTCCCGTGAGGACCTTCCAAGCTGTCATAATAGGCTACCCCCAATGCGGTTTTCCCTGTCGATTCATTCCCCTTTAACCATCTCCAAGAAGCGTTACCCTCACAAAACGCACACCCACACGGCTGCAGCACGGAAGTAACGAAAGCAATCCTCCGAGCACGACAACTATTGAACCCTGTTCCTCGGGGCCATGACCCCAAGGAACTGAGTGGACGTAAGCCACTGCCATGACAACTGATTGAAGCGGCGTGGCGTCCTTTGTCGCTTTTCTTGCTGGCGCTCTTTCTCAGAAACTTCTGAATCTAGCATAAAGTTTGAATCACTGCTGCGCTTTACTGACGTTGGCTATGCAGTATGCCAGCGTGCACGAACAGCAGGGGCTTTTGACACTGGCCTTTCCTGAATCCTGGTGTGGTCCGGATCAATCTATGCCCAATGTACGAAAGCCAGGTGGCGCAGGCAGGTACCTTGCAGCTGCATGTCTTTGGTTTATAGCTTCAGCCTATCAATAACTGGTCACACCACGTGTTTTGGGACAGCGCCAAAAGTATCGTTTCTTGCCGCCATGGCACTTTGCCAATGCAACAGCTGTAATCCAACCCCCGCACAATTGGTGAGGGTGGGGAATAACTGTGGGGGGGGTCTGATGAATTCGGAATTCAGGGGGTGCCTATCCTTGGGGTGCGCAATCGTTCGCAAAGCCCCAAATCGGTGAGCGCGTTGAAACAGGCCCACGACGAGTGTTCCTCCGAAAGGAAACACTTGCCATTTCAGAGGGCCAGGAACAGCAGTGAATTGGCATTCCTTGGGCTATTTTGAGAAACCCGCAGTTGGAATGAGGACTTTCCTTTGCGGAAAGGCACCTGGAGATGGTGTTGGCGCCGCCTTGTCCTTGCTGCCAAAGGCACCTTCCTCCTGAGCATGGCACGTGTCAAATATCGACGGGCAAACTCTACAATGCAAAAGTTCAACTTTTGTTGGGTCCAATGAAAAATCCATCCACTGTTTCCGAAAAAGTTGAAGTCCAAAGATCCAACCAAATATCCATTAAGCTTCTAGGTGGTTGAACCAAGTATCCATAGGGTTGCATCCATCCCAGCTTTCGCAGGACTTTGTCCATCCACAGCAGGGGGACCCAAAAACATGTGATTAAACGTTTAGCTTCCCTCCACACCAAGGGTGAAAGGGATACTCCCCCAAAAAACAACAACACACAGATTTTACTCGAAGCCACAAGGAACCGCCTGAAAAAGCAAACTTACAGAAGCCAATCCCTGGTTCTAATGGCACACGAATTTGACTCAAGTGAGAATCTCACTCAGTGGCCCAGTTACCTTGGCAGGAAAAGGGAGCCCGTTTTGGGGGTCACCGTGTTTGCAAGGAACCTCGTAAAACAGAGAGGAAACGAGGGGGCCACAATCCTTCAACTTTGAATTTGGAAGCAGTGAAACACAGAAGTAAAGACCTGGCGTGCCATATCCCCAGCAACAAGTCAAGGCCGCTGGCTTTTGCAAACTCCAAGTCAGACCGTCCATCTCTGACATGGATAAGGAACAGCTGGCACCTGGTTTAAATGGCTTTCTGACCAGGATTGTTAAAACCATATTTCGTCCTTCGGATTTCCGTTAAAGAAACCCAGGCTCCGGGTCATTGAGCAAATTTTAGCGGAAGACCAATACCCCGCGCTCTGCGTTGCCTATCTGACTCCGGGGAACTTTCACGTGGCTCAGCTGAGCTTGGGACCACGGACTGTCCCGTCTGGTTCCTTGGCTGAGCTGATTTTGATTTCCAGAAGGGTTCTGGGAGAAGTGGATAGGTCCAGGAACTTTAACATGGAACGCACCAGCGGGTCCACTTTTGGAGGACACTTGTCTTCAGGACACCCAATCAGATGTCATGCTAGTGCATGGAAGGGCAATTGCAAATATTGCAGGATACTGTTTACTTGCCTGGACACTAGAGCATCAACGAGCAAAAGCAACACCCATGCGGGCTGCTGACCTGCGTCCAGCATTAGCGCGGCTTGGCATGCCATGGTGCAACAGCGTGTTGATTCCAATGGCAGGGTGGCTTGGTATGGCAACCCAACTTTTGTGGCTCCCAAAGGTCATGTACAAACGTCGGTTATTGCCAGAATTGGTGGAAACTGTCCTGAATTCGGTGGATTCCTTGCATGTGAGCCCGCTAGCGTCCGCAAACCTAAGTTCAATATGTGCAAACATACTAGCCAAAGGCCAAAGAGCATCGGATCCAGCTTGGAAGTGGAGCAAAGGAATGACCACGCAGGCATGCGAAAGCGCCCCGATTTCGGCAGCCAATGCCAAATTCTACCCATTCACACATAAGAGTTCACTGCCACTTGGGGTTATTGTGAGGGGGCCCTTTTCTCTGATTCACACTTAAACCAATAAAAAAAGAAAACTACCACATGCTCCCTCAGGTTTGCACATACCACATGTTTTCGTTTTCGCACAACACGTTTTAGCCAGGATGACCATGGGTGCCTTTAAGGACAACCAAAAGGTGCCCTTCCATCACATGAAACCCACCGCAGGGCCTTTTAGAGGAACATGGTCTTTCAGGCCCCCCTCCCCCATTTGGTCAGGTTCCATGTGAATCCATTGCATGGTTTAACGATATATGGGCGTCAATTGAAAGCGGGGACCCTTTGGTGGAGTATCTAGGAGGGGATTCAATCCGTGTCAAACTTCATAGCCATGAATCAGCTGCTCGGCCCTCACCCGGCAGCTTCTCAACAAGGATTCCGGAGCCCCTTTTCGGTTGCTGATTTCAAGGAAAGCTAAAAAGGACACCAACCATTTTAGGGATCATTATTCTGAGAGACCCTCTGACCGGCATTTCAGCCGAAGAGCATCCGCCCAGGTCCCGTCTTGCTCTTGAAGAGATCCGCATCGACGGGCTTCACGCGCCCAGTCTGCCTCAAACCGGGGCGTGGCCACAAGAGGTACCCAAATGGCAACGGCTTCCTTTTGGTTTCCCTTTCAAAGCTCCCCTTCCAAACCAAACATCCCCTCGCAAAAAAGTAATAATAATAAAATCATGTGTTACACCCGGTTTAGGGTCAACTTCGACCCCTCAGCTCCGGTTTCCCCTAAGGCGGTCCCATGGAGCTCGTGGCAAGTGAGTTCTTGCCCGACCTCAGGGTTTAACATCCCGCGTTTGAGGCAAACACATGCCGTAAAGCGACTTCTGAACCTGCATGATGTCGTGTGCACCAGGCTCGGGGGATTCACTACAAAACTCAAACTCAACATGTATCATTTGAGGATCCCTACTGCTTGGCACCAGTTTCCGCACCGCCGTTCCCGAAAGGGTCAACCTTTGTAGGGCAACTCGAGCGAACTCATGGAGACCAAAGCCGATCACAATGCAGGCTTGGCCAAATTTATATTGCTTCACTGGAAACCACACAGGGGCCCCCTTGCACCGGAAGGATGCAGCTTTGCCATCTCAAGGGTTAAAACTGGAGCTAAAGCCCTGGATCATGCATATGGGCCCTTAGTTCAAGCAAGACGAAGCGTGACTCCAACATTTGGCCGAGAACTTGTTTTCGACTTTCGCTTCTGGCCACTCGGAACAGGCACGCGTGTGATCTTGGCACAATGTCCAAGTGGACGTACAAAGAGTCTACCAGGACAATCTGTGACAAGGTAACAAGTTGGTCGGAAAGTCACAAAATGGATGGACGAAACCCGTTCGCACCGCTTTGATAGGATTTCATCCATCCACAATATCAATGTACTACACTTGTGGTTTGGTAATGGGTTTGAGGCTCCCAGCAACTTGCAGTGCCCCAAGGCAAAACAAGACTCCCGTTCAACCGAGTCGCTCCGTAGGCTCTTTCTTGTGCTTGGCAATGAAGGCCTGCAGCAGAAACAACACCACATCGGGGCTTTCTCAAAATAGGGGACCCCCTCCCCAAAATGGGTTGTTATGGGAAACCAAAAGGAGACCACCCGGAGGGGTTCTCAAGTTTCCCAGATCCACTGCATTCCTTTCGCTGGCGATCTCAACTTCCAGGGGTCCAGCCTCCCTGCCCCAATTTGGCGAAACTCCGACTGCAGCTGAGGTCGGCTGAATCTTGGTTGCTGTTGACCCCTCTGCAAAAAGTGTCGTTTTTCGTGGGTCCAATTGATAATTCCACAAAGCTTCAACCCAAAGTCAAAGTCCAAAGACATCTTTTATCAAATAATGGACCCCCCCCCAGGCCCGCCACCGCGGCTTGGGCTGGCAGCCTCCCTAAGCTTGCAGTGGGTGGAGGTTCTAACCTCTGCATCCAGGCGGGGCGAGATCCTTTTCTGCCTCAGAAAAGCATGATCGATGTTTGATTCTGGCCCGTACATGCCCATACCTAGTGAACCAACATGTTAAAGAAAAGAGCACCGATGTGAGTTTCTTTCGCACCCCCTCCCGCCCGCTTAAAAGAACAACAACATAGGGCGGCTGGTTGCTCCGGGTTATCTCTTGGCCGTTTTCCATTGAGTAGATCTCAACTGTGATAATCAACCCCAGGGGATTGACGAACGGAAAGACTTCTTGGATACCCCCGTCCTTTCTAATGCTTGATAAACGTGCACGGGACGGATTGTTTCCTAGCTGCATAGCCCGCAAGTGTCTCTGTTGGGGATTGAAACAAATCCTTGCACAGCAACTAAACAGCAAGTAGTCACAAAAAGCTCGTGTTGATCAGCGGGCGGGTCTGTGTCACTTGTTGGTTGCACCAAACAAAGTCAAACCGACCGGATTTGGGCTCTGGCCATCTGGGCAATGGCCATTTTGCTGGCGTGAAATCAGGAAGTATCATGGAAAGGCGAATTGAGCCGCGCTGACCCTGGTAGAAACGGGCAAAACTGTTGTCACCTGCCCAAAGGACCTGGAAAGAAATGGTTTTCGGGACCTGCAGAAGAATCAAACAAGGTCGTCTTTAGACTCCTTTTGGTGGGTTCAACCAATTTGTGAATCCCGATCCCATCGAACCAAAACAAACAACGGGTGGACTCCATTCGCTCCACTGAGCTGGGTGACCTCGTTTCACCCTGCGCCTTGTCGTAGCCCACCACAGAGCCACGCTTCAGCTGGGCAGCGATCGACCTTGGAAGTGTCAGCTTGGCCGTTTTCTCAACAGACCGTCTTTAGGAAAGCCACAGGGAAACAACCCTACAACCCTTCAAGGCCTTTTATTCCAAGGGCACCCTATTTTTGAGAAACGTTCCATTGGTTGACCAGTGTTCTATAAACAAAAACCCGCTGGGGCCCGTCCGAAAAATCTGGACTCATCATTTAGAGGACCCCCTTTGTCTAGCAGGTGAACAGAAATTGCCCTGGATGCCCTGATCGTTGCATTCAGCGTATACTTGTACTCATCATACATATCTGGACAAAAGGGGGGGGGGCACTCTGCAAAAGTGTGGTGTCTTGCAAACATGATGCAAGTCCCGCCCCCCCCTAGTCCTGCTCCCACAACGAGTAGACCGAGCTCCTCGTTTGAGCTTGCTGGGAAATTGCCCGGAAAAAGATTCAGGCAACCTGGTTCTCAGCAGGGAATGAGGGAATGGCCCCTATAAACCATCCCCTCTGGTTTCCTTTCTTCGAGAATCCCCTTCCCGTTTTTGTCCCAACACCCCGACTAGGTCCCCTACTGAGCACCAGCAAGATTCCAAGCGGTGCGCTTCGGACGCGGCCCAAAGGCCCCGGCTCCAGCATAGGTTTCAGGGCAGGATTTCGGTGCAAGAGCTCCGCATAGGAGTCCATGCCTGGAGCGACGTGCGTGTAGGCTTGTGGAAGTCAACAAGTCTAATTATAAAACAAACCTTAAATTCTGCACAAGTAAGCAATTGAAACCTGCTGATGCTTATGAAAGTTCATAGAAAGCCTCATAATTCAATCAAGGAAAGTGGAACATGTCCCCTCCTTGAAATGCAGGCTGTCCTTTTGGTTTCCGTCTCAACCCACCCCAAAACACAGTACGTCCACAACTAAATAGCCAAGGCTTTTGGGCCCTACTTTGATGTTGTATGATGTTAAGCTGCTGCCTTTGTCAGAAAATGTGTTGCACTTCACCCCCGAGATCACTTGCGGAGGTGGCCAGGAAGAATGCATCAACTCAAGCAAAATGTCCCTTTCCCCAATTTCTGAACTTGCGGGTGAATGCGAGGGAAACCACCTACTTAGGAAACAAGAGCCGGGGAGAGCGGCAACACGGGAGTATCAAGAGTGGAGAACAGCGAGCGAACAAAAAAGAAGAACCGTGGCCTGCAGAAAACCTTAACATGACTAAACTTCCTGGTTCTCAGACGGAATGACCCCCATAACCCATCGCCTTCCGGTTCATTCCCAACACCCGGACAAGGTCATTCCCTACCTATCGCACCAGCAAGCAAAGAGGCGCCTTTTTAAAGAAGAGGATCCGCCGGCCTCTCTCGTAAGATTTGCAAAGTGTGGACCACATGTTGGTGAGCTCCTTTCGGCGGTACCTGGCGCAAGAAGCAATGAACTCCGTGCAGGTTTGTGCTTTGGATCCCTTAATGTGGCAAGTTTCAAGGCTCTCAAATTAGTTTTGGGTCCCAGAGTTTTCCCGCTCCCTCTTTGCAGGGAAAACTGAAGGATATCACGTTGATGGAGATTCAAACTTGTCTTCGCTTTGCTCTACACCCGCTACCGACATGAAATCGCCAGGATGATTCATCTGAGGAAACTTCAAGCTTTCTGAAAACCAGCGCCAAGGTCCTCCCTTCAAGCAAATGACAAGCAAGCCCAAGTCACGAAAGCGCATACTCTCATACTTGCCTGTTCAAATGGATGGCTGACCAAGTCTCAATCATTTACAAAGGGGCCTAACGGACGGATCTTGCCGATTGTCTTGGAACAGCCCACATAATTATCACTAAGCAACCCAACAATCCGTATTTGCAAACCTTCTGGACATACCCCCTACAACCTCAGAAAAGTACCAAAAGACTTTTAGGGCTACCGTGACCAACTTGCCTTCTGGGCTTGCCTGTGAGATCTCGCCAAACGAGAGCCGCTGAGCCGCCGACAAGTTGTACATGTACAGCGCAAAGAGGTCGGCACATGCGCGGTGATCCGCCTGGAACCGAAAACTTTTGCAGTGTGAGCCACAGTGAACACTACGAGATTCCCCAAGGGGACATGGACAAATGTGCGTCTGTGTCATTTTGGGAAACTCGGTGTCCCTCATGTCCCTCCCAAATGGATGATCATATCATATCTTTCCCGAACATTTGAGCAAGCAAACAACTACATACAGCGCTTTTCAAACCTGCCACCATCACACTCATA